AAATACTTTAATATAAACTTATATTAATTTATAACATTAACTAATATAAAATGATATTAAATTACAAAAATAATTAAACAATGTTTATTGTAAAAGAGTATACTAACTGTATAAAATAATTATATTAAACAATATAATGTATATTGTTAAATTACAAAAATAATTAAACAACTTCTATTCTAAAAGTATATACTAACTATAAGTATAGGTGTAGTGACTTAGTGAAGTGGTTAAGTTGTCACACCCCTAAGTGGAATGTCAAATAGGTAAGAGGTTCAAAACCCACCGGTGATGATTTTCAAATATTCTATCTGTATGACAGCTACTGTCTTTTAACGATCGGTTGGAACAGAATTTCTGTAACTTTGATAATATCAACAAGATTGAAAAATCATAGGGCTTTGTGTGATATATGAGTTATACGAAAAGTTTCAGATTATTGTAAGCCCAAGGAACCAGAAAAATAGATGCCCGCTTGGTAAGCCCAAGTAGAGAGATAGCACAGATCTTTGATAGTATGATATAAAGAATTATTACTAAAAGAACTAGAAAAACTGAATAGAACCGAAGTGTTAAGCAAGGCATTCTGCCAACCAGGCTGCTGGGAGAGTAATCGGAGAAAAAAGACTCAATCGTAAAGACCAAAAGCAGGTCATAGCCCTTTCGTGCCATCTGGATTGGTAGTTTGGAATAGTTAGGAATATTGGTAATAGTCTGTAAAATATGTATTGGGGTTTGAGTGAACTTTACAAGGGCAGAAGTAGATTTGGATAGTGGAGTTCAGCCAAACTGGGGTTATGAAAAGCTGGAAAAAAACTATAGGCAATAATTTTGACCTGGCACCACCCACACTCCCAAAATGAATAAACTGAGCTGCAAGTGATAAGCCATGGCTCTGTGTACTAAGCTGAAGTACAGGCTAGATACGGTATAAAATGGGAATACTGCAAGCTTTGTCAGATTTACCTCGAGGATAAAGTAGTCCTAGGTTGGTTATGTGTAATAGTTGCATCAAGAAGAACTGGTTTCTAGAAGACCGGAGAAATGGTGCCAATTATAAAAAGGCCTCAAAGTACATAGGCGCAAAAAGTTTAAAATAGGTAACCCTAGTCGGGTTGTAGGTATAGCAAATAGTGTAGAACCTAGTAATAGGCAGACTACTTAAATAGGCGCTCAAAAGGTGCAGATATAGCTAAATATACTCTCCAAATATGTATAATGATGTCCTTACATAATAAAGCACAACACGATCAAGAGGTCACCTTAATATCAAAAAAAAAAAAAAAACTAACTATAAGTATTAAATAATTATATTAAACAATATAATGTATATTGTTAAACAATAAATTAATATTAAAAAATATAATTATTATTAACAAATGATAATATAAAACATTATAATAAAATAAAAATTTTATATTATTTAATATATCGTAGTTGTATTAAATAACATTTTACTTACTAACAACTGGCTTGTCACAAAATAAAAAAAGAAATTAAAAGGAAGTAAGTTAGTTTTATTCTTATTATTAGTATTTTATTACTTATTAAATTATCTAATATAATTTTATATAACCTAGCCTCAAGTTATTGTTTCAAGAAAAGTAAGTTATTTTATTCATATTTTTTTTATTAGTATTCAACTATTTATTAAATTATCTAATAAAATTTTATATAACTTAGCCTCAAGTTATTATCAAATTTTTACTACTTACTACTTCTAAAAAAACCACTGCTACAAAAATTTCAAATTTGTAAAATAATATTTTCTTTTTTTCTATTTTATTTTATTTTATTTTATTTTATTTATTTATTTATTTATTTTTTAACTCTATATTACTTTATATTTTTATTTAATAGTTTAAGCAACTATCGATCCACGTATTATAAACAAGGTTCTAAATATCACGCAGACTAACTCTGCAAAACTTGACAACTTTCCAGAGACTATGCCAAGCTCGAATATTTGATTAGGAAACAACAAGCACAGCTTGGAGAAGTTTTAAAAAACTTCAAAATTAGTATTGATAATATAAAAAAAGGCAAAGGAAAAAAGCCTTCAAAAAATCCTGAAGATATTTGTTTTCAAGTATATATACACTTTTATTTATACTAATAGTTTGTTTTATATTAATATCACTATGCATATTATTTATATATTATATATTATATTATAGAATGCAACCAGAAAACTAGTATATAAATTATTTTATAATCATGTGCAAATTAGCGACAACCAAATAAAGGAATAGTTTAAGAAGATGTTAGAAAGTGATGAAGAATACACAGAACAATTACAAAAATTAAATGACAAAGGTGTCTCGTTTAATTCATTTTGGAATGCTAAACTTTATTCTGAAGTAGTATCTTATCCAATTTTACTTATATAAGTGTTACAAAAGAAAATCTGCAATTTTAAAAATAGATTATTATAAATTTTATAATAATCTATTTTAAAATTGCAGGTTTTTTCTTGTGATACTTACTTAATTTCTAAATATTAATTGTATTTAATTTATTTAATATATATAGATACTTGCAACAATTTAGCTAAAAAAAGATTATTATATTCAATGTGCTAAAGAAGGACTATAGAGCACTTTTGGTATTAATCGAGTAAAACTATTTAGCAAAAAAGATACAAAAAAGCAAATAAGAGAATAGAAGAAGAATTTTAAGCAGGCATATAAAGACTTATACAATCCTAGTGATCCAGATAATCCAAATTCTAAAATATTTCTTTTATTAATTATAAAGTATATTTTTGTATCCGATAAAGAACATACCCAAGCTAATGCTATTTGGACACAAGCAGTTCTTGAAACTATTTTTGATGAGAAATATCTTTCACCAAAGATTGATACAGATTTCGTCGATATATGGATTCAAAAGCTAAATGCTAAAAATAATGAGAATGTATGTATATTGTTTATTAATGATTTTACCAATTTATTTGAACTAGAGATGCAGATGTAACTTTGTAATATGTCAGAACTATAATGAATTACTATATTTTTCTGTAATTTATTATAGTTATAACAAGCTACAAAGTTATACTTGCACCTCTAATTTGAATATATATATTTTTTTTTAGGATACTGTTTTGCAAAAAAGGTTCTGCAAGTTCTCCTGCAAGTTCTTCTACAATATCAGAAGCAGTGATTCAAGAGAACTATGATAAATTATCTAATGGTGATAATAATAAAAATGATCATAGTAGTGATAGCAATTATAAGGAAGATTAAATTGCAAGAACAATTTAAGTGATTTAATTAGCAATATATTATGTAGTAAATTAGTACTTAATGATTATTGTATATATTTCGTATATTAGTTATAGACTTTGCTATGTATTGCTTAATATATTAAAAAAATGTATTTTATAATAAATATATATTGCTTAATATAATAATATATATTTTTAAATAGTATTAGTTAATAAAATAAGTTGCTTAATACAATGTTACATATTTTTAAATAGCATTAGTTAATAAAATATATTGTTTAATGCATTGTAAAATTGTTTTTCAATGCTGTTAGTCTGTATAGGGTTCGTTGTTCTACTGATTGTAGCATTAAATAACTATTACGGCATATT